TCCACACAGGCTCACACACATACACAGACAATACCTCCCACCGGATCTGCCCCTGCTCCCCTTCTGTGGGCCCTGCGCCCTCCCCGTGGCCAAGCGACTTTGGATCGAGAGCCATTCAAGCAGCTCAGGGCACGTTCCCCGGCCCAGCTGGCAAGCAGGGGCTCTGATGTGGAGACAGCAAACCCAGAGCCAGGTAGATCGGAGGCCGTGGTAGCACAAAGATGGCACTGCCAGGCTCTGCTCGGGCGGGCGTCCAGAGAGCAGGCCAGCTGTGCAGTGTGCGGGATCCCTGTGAAAGGAAACCGTGGCGCCTCCTATGAGGATGTAGGAAAGATTTGGAGACAGCGGCAGCAGAGCTGGGGGTCCCCAAGCTCCAAATCTGTGCAAACACACAGCCCCAGCCAGGAAGCCGGCCTGCAGGGAAGGAGGGGTTACTTATGGGGGGTGGGGACCCGAGTCCTCCTGGGCCTCCATTTTAGGGTGAAGTGGGCCAGGGATCATGCATAATAGCCAAAAGGTGGAAAAAACCCAAATGCCCATGACGGATGAGTGTAGAAACATGATCTATCCACACCACAGAATAGCATTCAGCCATGAAAAGGAACAACGCACTGGTGCATGCTCCTGGGTGTATCCAGGGGATGGAGCCAGGCATAAGAGGCCACTTGTGACATGATCACATTTGTAAGTGACGCCCGGAAGAGGCCAAGCCACAGGACAGAAAGTCAGTTGGTTTACGGCTGTCTAGAGCTGGGGAGGCGGGAGAGGGGGGGCAGGAGAGAAAATGTCCTAAAACTATGTGGTGGTCACACAAACTGTCCTAAAAGTCACTGCATTGCATACTTCCAGTGGGTGAATTGTATACAATAATTCTATCTCAATAAGGCTGTTATCAGAGGAAGGGGAAGCTGGAAGAGGGGATGGAGGAGGAGTGGGAGAGACACAAGAGAAGGAATCTGAAACTTCTCCTCCTCTCTAATGAGCTTTAGTACCAATTGCCCATAAAGGTTTTGGGGAACCAGCATCCCAAATCCAGCAGCCTGGACCTCCTTCTCTAGCTGTGTTGGGGGGGCGGGGAGAAGGGGGTGTCTTGCCTCCCCCCCATACTTCCATCTGTGTGACTTTGGGCAAGTCACACCACCTCTCTGGGCCTCCCTCTTCTCTGCAAAGACATCGCTGATAAGCTGGTCAGCGGGGACACTGGGGACAGTACAGGGACACCCAGGGGGTGTTCAAAAAGCGACCGCCCTCCGGTTTAGCTCAGTGGACAGAGCGTCAGCCTGTAGGCTGGAGGGCCCCAGGTTCGATTCCAGTCAAGGGCATGTACCTTGGTTACGGGCACATTCCCAGAAGAGGGTGTGCAGGAGGCAGCTGATCGATGATTCTCTCTCATCGATGTTTCTAACTCTCTGTCCCTCTCTGTAAAAAATTAATAAAATATATTTTTTTAAAAGAAGCAGCCGCCGGAGGAGGATTTGGTACCAGCTAAGCCCCGTGAACCAGGCGCTTCCCCAAACTCTTAGGGAGCCTGGGGCGAGGGCGGCAGCCCCCAGGGTCGCCCCTGCCCCCGCCTGGGCCCGGAGGAAGCCCGGCGGGCGGCGGAGGAGCCGGGCAGGGCCGGGAGGGAGCCGGGCCGCAGCCGCCGCGGCTCATCCATCAGCCGGACGAAGAGCAGAGCGCGCTCTCGGCCCTCTGTTTGCTTTCTCGCCAATTATTGCCGCGCCTCGGCCCCTTTGTTGATACAGTAGTCCCCAAAAGTGCTAATGTTCATTTATCAGGGGGCCCGCCCGGGGCTCGGCGGGTTGCGATTCTTCCCAAAATATAAACACGGGGCGAGCGTCCCAGACAGAAACCCCCATCTGCCCCGCGGCCGGCGCGGCGCGGCGCGGGCGCTTGTTGAAGATAAAGCGGCGGATAACGCCGCCTGTCTCCAGCGGACGTCTCCGCGGCGCATTAATGACATTCCCGGTTATAGTGCCAGCTTATCTTTCAATTAATCATATATACCTTGTGCGGCCGGCCCGGCCCGGCTGATGGCAGCGCTGCAGGCCGCCCGGCCCGCAGATCGCTTTCCAATTAATAATATTTTATGGGCGCAGAGCGCGCCCGGGTCACCCTGGGGCTCTGAGAGCACCCGCTCTCCGCTCCGTAAAAGCCGCGGAGACAGACGGATGTACTTCCCATCCCTCCTCCGGCCTCTCCCCGGGCTGAGGCTGTCTGTCTGTCCCGCTGGTTCGGCCAAAGCGCCGCTGCGCCGGGCGGCCAGGGCGGCCGCGGCCCCGGGGAAGGGAGACTGTCCGGTCCCTGTGGGGCTGGAGAATCCCGTGTCGCCCCTCTCCACCCCCAACCGTTTCAACCTCTGTTTAAAGAAAACAAAACCTTTCCCCCATCCCTCAGAAGCAGAGAGCACTGCAAATAAAAGCTGGAGCTGGCTCTGGGAGGTTCTGTGCGGAGCCCAGTGTGGGTCGCCCCAATTTCGATGTTGCCCCTGTGTACCCGTGTTTGCCCCTGCTTCCTCTTCCCAGCGGCGCTAAGGACTGTTTCAGAGCCACAAGGAATTATTCCGGGACTTGGGGCGGGAAGAAGTCTCTGATTTTGTCCAAATAGAGAGGGTTTTCTTTCCTCCCCTTTTCCTGACACCTGACCCGCAGCTCTGTCCGCCCTGGACCCCATCCCCGAAATCCGTGACAAACCTCACCGCCTTCATCTGCATAGGAAATGCTCGCTTTTTCCTCCCCTCCCCAGAACTGTCTCTTTAAAACAAACAAAAAAACACTCCCCCCAACAACCCCGCGAACGCCAGGGATCCGGAAGCGGCCTCGGCCCCCATTAACCGCTAATATTTCAGGCGTGGGCTCCCGCTAATCTTTCAAACTGTCATCGCGGCCGCCTGGCCGCCTTTCACTTAGCGGAGCGCCCAGGACCCGCTCCCAGCGCTTTTCAGCAAAAGCGAGACGGTTAATTGAATCGGATGTGGCTCGTTTGCCAGACGTCACCGCCCGCCAGAGGCATCCTCCCCGAAAAGCCGTCTCCAAAGGCAGCGGCCCAGGCAAGGTGAGTGGAGAGCAGAGACTGTAACACTGGCCCAACCCCTGTGGAAAGGGCCCAGGAGAGGCCTCGGTGCCTGCCGGGCAGACCGGGCCCCAGAGGCAAGGGGGGGGGGTTCTGGGAGGGGGGGTGCTGGGCAGGGTGGGTGCTGGAGATCCGGCTGCCACCGCAGCCCAGGCCCCGCACTGGCGCCTGAAGCCAGGGACACAGTGCTCCGAGCCTCCCTCCCCAGCCCAGCGCGAACTCCGCTCCCTGCGCCTGGCTCCGAGGCACAGGTCCTGGGAGTGTGGCTGTGATGGGGAGCTGGAAGGTCCCAACCTTAGGCTTATGCTCCAAGGCTCACCATTTTGCGGGAGCCTTCTGGACAGACAGACAGACAGCCAGAGGCCACCTTGTCCCCAGCTTTGTGTATGTCCTCTGGGCCGTGGGCGAGTTCTGAGGGAAGCCTGGGCCGGAGCGGCCCTTCCCTCGCCTTCGGCCCTTGGCCGCCTTCCTTCTAACCCAAGCGTTTCTGACCCCAGTTCCCAGTCGCCCTCGGAGCCTCCCTCCTCAGCAAGCTCCCGTCAGCCCAGGCCTTGCCTGCAGAAGCTTGGGTCCTGGGAATTGGATGCTTTGCCCCTGGCAAACCTCCCATCCCCAGGACAGTTAGGGGGGGACCGTTCTGCCAGCCAGAACCCCCTTGAAACTGCACACACAATAGAGCACCTCTCCTTTAGTCCTGGGGCGCGGGCCAGGCCAGAGCCTGCACCAGATCTCCTGGTCCCCAGACCCCGAGGCAGCCTGCCGCGGATCTGGCACTCCTGACTTAGTGGTAGATTTGTCCTGCCGGAGATCCCCACTTTTCTGACCCTGGGCTACAAATTAACACCCCTGACGCCCCGCGCTTCCCCCACTCGCCTGGCCAGACCGGTGCCGGGTGCCCCACTGGGCTCTGGCCCAGCAACTCAGAGAAACCCTCCCCCAGCAGTGCTCAGAGGTGCCCGCCCGCCTGAGAGCCACGCCAGGGCTGGAGCCTGCGGCCTTGGGGCTGGCAGAGGCCTGGACCCTCACTGCTCTGAAGGGTGGGAGTGGGAGAGAGGGAGGCAGTAATGATGAAGCAGACCCCCTAGCACACCCCTCTCCCCTGGGAGCTGTGTGCCCGCTGGGATTCTGGTTTGTCTCATTGAGGGTGGGGGTCATTTCTCTGGGAAAAGACTGGCAGTGACGGTGTCCCTGCAGCTGTGAGGGTACAGCTCCCACACCACAACCCCCCTCTGGCCTTCTGCTTGACCCACCCCAAGCCCCCTGGGCAAAGGGGGACTACGGGGCTGTGGCTGGTCCTGTAAAGCCAAACAGAACCCCCAAATTGTCCGGAACCTCCCGGTCCTGCCATCACCCCAGGGGAACACTCCCCTGTGGTCTTATTCAGACTCTCCCCAGGTCTGTCCTTCAGCAATGAGGCCCTTAGGGCTCCTGGAAATGGCCCTCCCTCTGCCCCTCCCACCCAGGCCTTCACGCTCCCTGCTATTTAGGTGCTGGGAACTTTTCCTCACGTCCCCACCCTGGGATTCGGAGAAGAATGGAGTTCTTCCCTGCCAGTGGGTCTGGCGGGTTTTTAGGCGAGCTCTGGGAGCAAAGGAAGAGCCTTCCCAGGGTGTGAGGCCCCTTTAAAAGCTGAGCGGGATTGGTTTTTTTTTTTTAGCCCAATGACTATATTAGGTGACACGAAACTGCTCATCGCTCCTGTCAACACGGCCCCTGGCCCAATGGCGCGCTGAGCCCCCTCCCCGGCCTGGTCCCGCCTCCCGGCCCCAGGGCCCCGCACTACCTGCCGCGGCCACAACCCACAGCGGAGCGGAGCGGAGGGCGGGCAGCAGCGGCGGCAGCGGGCACCATGCGGGGAGGCCGCCAGGGGCCGCGGGCAGCAGCGCGCACGGCCGCCCCGCCGGCCTGGTGAGGCGCGCGGTGCCACCATGTTCCCCAGCCCCGGGCTCGCCCCCACGCCCTTCTCCGTCAAAGACATCCTGAACCTGGAGCAGCAGCAGCGCAGCCTGGAGGCCACGCTGGCGCCCGCCTCCTGCATGCTGGCCGCCTTCAAGCCCGAGGCCTACGCGGGGCCCGAGGCGGCGGCGCCCGGCCTCCCCGAGCTGCGCGCCGAGCTGGGCCCCGCACCCGCGCCCGCCAAGTGCGGGCCGGCCTTCCCCGCCGCCGCCGCCTTCTACCCGCGCGCCTACGGCGACCCCGACGCCCCCAAGGACCCCCGCGCCGACAGGAAAGGTGAGAGGAGGCTCAGATCCTGCTCCTTCCCCGCGCTTTTGTCCCAAACCCGCCGCCCTAAGCCCCAGCCTGGGCTCCGAGTGTGAGCAGCAGCGGTTGGCTCGGCCCTGGCACCCGGTCCATCGGGTCCAGAGGAAATGCTGGGTTGCAATGATTAGAAACAAGAGACGGGTTTTTTTTGTTTGTTTGATTTTTCGGCCTAACAAAGCCCAGGCAGCAGCAAGCAGCCCTGCTCCTGGGTTCGTCCTGAAGTGGACGATCGGTTTGTGTAGGACAGAGAGATTCTCTGTATCAGGGTTGTTTTTAAAAACCTCTTTGGAGTATAGGGTTTTTGTGTAAGGGGGTGGGGATTGTTTGTGTGTGCGGTGTTTTTTGGTTTTGTTTTTGTGTTTTTGTTTTGTTTTTTGAGGATCAGATGAAAACCGATAAACAGATTGAAATGCCGCGCACCAGGCAGCTTTGCGCACCATCGGAGGAGGGTCGGGCCACAACCCACGCTCCTGGGCCTCTCCCTCTTTGTTCCAGGAAAGGGGAATCTTGGGAACCCGGCCTGGGTTTTAAAGCGGGGACACTGTGGGCTCCTGGCCCTGACTTACTACTGGCTGGATTTTCCAGCACCATTTCCTCCTGTGCCGGGCTGGCTTCGCCCCGGAAAAGTTAGAAAACCCCGCGCCAGGAGAGGTCGGGGGAGGGAGGGGGCGGCGGAGTCACTGGGCAGCGGCTGTCCCCGCGCAAGAAGGGCGCGGAGGGCGCTGGGGACCCTGGCTCGGCGCGGGGCCCGCAAACCCGGGGAGACGGGCGCCGGCGGGCGGGCTGCGGGAGCCGGGAGGATCGCTCTGAGCCCCGGAGGTCTGTCCAGAGGGAGGGAAGCCAGGAGGATCGCTCTGAGCCCCGGAGGTCTGTCCAGAGGGAAGATCGCTCTGAGCCCCGGAGGTCTGTCCAGAGGGAAGCCGGGCCGTGGACGCTGGGGGGCGGCGGGCTGAAGTGCTCGCTACCGATTCCAACCCAACTGGAGCGGGTTCCCAGGCCCGGCTGCGCGGGCCTCTGTGCTCCCGATCGGCCCTCTCGGCCTCTGTGTCCGTGGTTCCGTGACGGGGAGACACTGTGGCCGCCCTGGGAGAGGCCTGTCTCTCTATGGAGCCAAACTGGCCCTGACTCCCCGGGGCCGCGTCCGGCTCTGCATTCTGTGCGGCCGGACCTCAGGTCACTGTCCGGCGGCTCCCGCCCCACAATGGAGCTCCCGGTGCAGGGGCCGCTCCGTTCGCTTCCTCCCGGGGCCTGGAGCCGTGCCCGGCGCCCGGCGGGCGCTCCACCAGGCGGGCGCGGGTCCTCGGTGCGCGGGCGAGGGGCCGCAGCGCGCCGGGCTCTCCGGGCTCCCCGGCCCGGCTCCCTCCCCGGGGGAAGGCGGGCTCCGGGGCCAGGCCGGCCGCTCTGACCCCCCCACCCCACACCCTGTCCCCGCAGAGCCGTGCCTGCAGCCGGCGGCGGCGGAGGCGGCGGACGCGGAGCGGCCCCGGGCGCGGCGGCGGCGGAAGCCCCGCGTGCTCTTCTCGCAGGCGCAGGTGTACGAGCTGGAGCGGCGCTTCAAGCAGCAGCGCTACCTGTCGGCGCCCGAGCGCGACCAGCTGGCCGGCGCGCTGAAGCTCACGTCCACGCAGGTGAAGATCTGGTTCCAGAACCGGCGCTACAAGTGCAAGCGGCAGCGGCAGGACCAGACGCTGGAGCTGGTGGGGCTGCCGCCGCCGCCGCCGCCCGCGCGCCGCATCGCCGTGCCCGTGCTGGTGCGCGACGGCAAGCCCTGCCTGGCGGACTCGGCGCCCTACGGCCCGGCCTACGGCGTGGGCCTCAACGCCTACGGCTACGGCGCCTACCCCGCCTGCCCCGGCTACGGCGGCGCGGCCTGCGGGCCCGGCTACGGCTGCGCGGCCGCCTACCCCGCCGCGCCCCCCGCGCCCGCCGCCGCCGGCAGCGGCTTCGTGAACTTGGGCGGCGCCGGGGACTTGAACGCGGTGCCGAGCCCCGGGGTGCCGCAGGGCAACGCGGGCGTGTCCGCGCTGCACGGCATCCGCGCCTGGTAGGGACGGACCGACAGGCCCGGGCGCCCGCCGGCTCCCTCCTCCCTCCGGCGAAGGCGCGGCCCGGGGAGGGGAGGGGGCTCCCGGCGCGCCTGCCCGCGGCCCGGACTCCGCAGCCTCCCGCAGGGACCCCGGGCTCCCCACGCCGCGAGCCTCGGTCCCCACGCGGGGAGCGTCCGCGGCCGAATGGACACGACAGGCGGCGAATGGCCCTCAGCCCGACGCCTTCGCCCGGCCCCGGAGCGCCCTCCGAGCGCGCACGGCGTCCGGGACGGCGAACACTGGGCCTGGGCACGGGGCCGCCCCAGAGCCTGGGTCCGGCGCCGGGGCGGGCGCGTGCTGCCTGGCCACCGCCCCCCTCTCTCCCTCCTTCCTCCATCCCTCCCGTATTTATGTTTTTACCTGTGGCTGTGAGTCCCCAGAACCTCCCCATTAAAGAGAGTGCGCTGACGCAGCCTGTGCTTCTTTCCGCCGCCGCGCGCCTGGGGAACAGAGCGAGGAGGCAGGCCCGGGGTTGTCTCTTGTGCCCTCCAGCCACCCGAGGCTGGAAGAGGTCTAGTGACTTTTCGGTTCTGGGTCTCACTTCAGAGGCCAAGAGCATCTGCCCAGAGCTCCCAGCCATGCCCCCTGCAGCCCTACTGTGTGCTGGGCGCTGCTCCAGGCGCCGGACAGTCCTTGGAGAGCGGACGCAGGCCCGAGGCGGCTGGAGGGCACCATACCCGTCCTGCCTTAGAAAAGGCCTCAGCCCATTTACAGACGGAAAAGCCGAGAACCAAAGCCCGTTCCCACATGGCTGCAGCCTCGGAGGCTGCTCGGCGGGGCGGCGGGGCGGCGAGGGCCCCCAGGAGACGTCCGCACCAGCTGGTGTCCGCAGCGCCTCACCAGGAGAATGCACGGTCAGGAAGCTCCTTCCCACCACCGCTGTCCCCGCTCCCCGGGCGGCAGGACACTCGCTGTACGTGCTGTCGCTGCGCAGAGCTCACAGGGAAACCGAGGCTGGGGAAATCCGGCCCAGACCCCTGGCTGAGGGCTGCCCGTGGCGGCTGCAGCGTTTCCTCTGAAAAGGGCGGGGGGCAGAGTATGTCTCTCGGAGCCAGGCCGCTGGGCCTGGCCCTCAGCTCCTCCGTCCGCCGCCCCCGCTGGGAGGACAGCGGTTTTTTAAAGAACGGGAGGGAGCCGGCTCTGTATTTCCTCGGAATACGGGTTTTCTGTGATTTTCCTGAAATCGCTGGGCCGGCGGGGCACCGGGCATGGGCGGCGAGAGCTCTGGTGGAGTTGGGGGACCTCGTGAGGCTGGAGGTGCCCCTGGCCGGGTGGCCCGGGAGCCTCCTGCTGCGGGAGGGACAGGACCCGGACTGGGAGCAGGGCCCATGCCTGCCATGTCCCCTCCTCGGAGAGGGGTGGCCTGAAGCTCGCCCAGCTGCCGGCGGGCAGAGGGGGCCGTGCCGGCGCTGCGCTCCGGTGCGGGTGGGAGGGTGCGCTGTGGGAAGAGGGGAAGGGGCTGCACTGGTCTGGGTTCCGGCCGATGTGAATGCCCTCAGCTGTAAGGTCCGGACCGGGCGGGAGGGCCAGGGGAGGGGGACTGTGTTCGGCACAGCCCGGCATTCGGCATTCACCGCCTGGGCCCGTGGAGGAGAGCAGCCGGCGGGCTCAGCGCGCTCTGCCCATCGCCCCAATGCAGGGTGGTCCCTCCTCCGGGAAGAGCACCCTCCCCTGGGAAGAGCAACCTCCTCCGCAGGACCAGCTCCCCACCGCACCGGCAGTTCTGCCTGGGATCCCGCCCGGGCTTCCATCAGACCCAGTGTTTGCCGTGTCGCCCTGGGTTTTCGCCTTCCCTTGTCCGCGGTAATATTCGAGGTGATATTTCTTTCCCTCAGCCTTACAAGGGAGGGGGTTTCTCTGTGCCATCCTGCGGGACCGCCAGTGACGCCGAGGTCTCTCGCCAATGGGCAACAATGCTGGCAGGGCGCGCCCAACGCCAGGGCTGACAGCTTTACACTCTCTGGTCTAATCCGTCCTCGTTTGCAAGCCAGGAAACTGAGGACCGGAGGTAACCAACGTCAAGGTCATGCATTTTCTCCACTGAGCTGGGAAGCCCATCCGCCTCCCCCGAAGGGCAGGGGCTGGCGGGCTGGCGGAGAAGCCCGGTCTCTCCGGGAAAGAGGCAGAGGGGCCGCGCCTGGGCCTCCGCGCTGCAGGCTGACCGGCCCTCTCCCTCGCCTGCACCGCCGGGCTCACTCCCCGAGAATGGGAGAGCTCGGAGGTCGGGGAAGCTGGGGCTCTCACTCCGCCAAGGGCATAGCCTCTGGGAGCCAGGGGCTTCGGGCACAGGCTCAGAAGGCCCCTAAATTAACAACCCCGAGTCCACATAGCGATCCGATCCCAAATTCAATCGGTAGTATATTCGTTTGGTTTTTCAATTATTATATGAGTGTCACGTGCAGAGAAAATTCAGGCAGGGCAGAGAAGTGAGAAACAAACGAGAATTGTGGGTGCTTCCAGGTGGCGAAGAGCTAGGAAATTGGGGTGAGGCAGGAGCGGGGGGGGGGGGGGGAGCGGGGGAGAAGAGGGGATTGGGGGGGCACAGAGGGGACTAGTTATATTTAATGATTTTTTTTAAAATTCTCACCCGAGAATGTGTTTATTGATTTGAGGAAGAGAGAAACATCGATGGATTGATTCTGGTATTGCCCCCTCCAGGGAACAAACCCACAGCCTAGGTATGTGCCCTGACTGGGAATTGAACCCATTTGGTGTCCAGGGGCGATGGTCCAACCTACTGGGCCACCACTGGGTCTATAATGTTTTTTAAAAAATCAAACAAGCACACGCCACAGTGAGAAACCAGTGAGAGCTACACCGTGACATTGAAAGAGAGAAGCTGGCTCAGTGGGAGGAGCCCTGCAGGAGGACTGGGGAGAGCCAGGCTGGCCAGGGCGGGACGGTGGGTGTCCGGGGAAGCAGAGGCTAGGCCGCACCGTGCTCCCGGCACCAGGACCGGAGTCCTCTCACTCTCTTGCATCGTTCCGGCCAGTAAACACGTTTTGCCAAATCAGAAGAGCTTCCATCTTTTTATTCTGTATAGGTGTCCATGTTGTGTATTTCCATACCTGCATTTAAAAGAAGTTGCAGACCTCGGAGCTGACGGCAGCCCTGCCCTCCCGGAGCCCAGCGGCTGCTCCTGGGTAAGTCTTTGGGCTCAGGCCCCGCTGGACCAGGAGGGCAGCCGGCAGCCCAGGTCCGAGGACCTCCCTCCAGATGGGCTCCTGGGAAAGGGCTGGCGCTCGGATCCCATTTACTTCTCGCCATGGAGCTTATGGCCCTGTCCTGAGCTCTTTCCAAGGTGAGCCTCTCTAATCCTCTCACCCCTTTGGGGGACAGATAAATCGCTCACAGGCCCGGGGCCACACAGCTGGCCAGCGCCATAGCTGCTTACAGACCCGCAGCCTGGCTCCTGCCCGGAGCTCCGTGTCTTTGTGTCCCAGCTCAGAAAGGAAGCGCCGGGACAAACCCAATCAATGTGCCGATTGCAAGAGGCAGAACAAGCCCAGCCGGTAGGCACAGTTACTCTTCCCTTAGGACTGGGGGAAACTGAGGCACAGAGAGAAGTGACTCACTGAAGACCTCGCAGTGGAGTGGGGGGCAGAGCAGCGGGGATTCCGGGGGCAGTCCGGCCCCCCTGAGCTTCCTGAAGAGCCAGGTGGGACATGAGTGGACCTGACACGCTGGCCGCCGCTCTGCCCGCTGCTCCGACAGCCAGCCGGCTGCGTGGGGACATCACTGTCTCCAGGCTCAGCCGGGCCAGGCCCGGGGAGAAGGTCTAACCTGCAAACCTCCTCATGGCCCAGGAGGAAGCTCATGCAGCTCCGGGCCCGGCCTGCCTGGCGACGTGACTCCAGGTGGTTCCACCAGAGTCCTGGCTCCTTGAGCTGTTCTCAGAGGTTCGCAAGCTTGCAGGACACCAACTGCCGGAGGCTGGACAGGCCCCAACCCTGCCCACCGGCTCCCTCGAACGGGGCTCCCCAGGGCGGGCCTGCAGCACTCACGGGTGACAGGTGCCTCTCATCCTGGCGATGGAGGAGGCCGCTCAGAGCCCGGCCTCGGCAGGGGGAGCGGGGGTCGGGTTTCCTCGCTCCGGGGGCTGAGACCCAGTGGCTGTGTGAGAGCAGCATGCGGACCCCTCAGCGGAGCGGCCTGGAGCCCGTGGGCGGAGGGGAGGGCCGGGGCAGTGCCGCCCTCCAGGCTCCGGGTCTCCCTCAGCCCTGTAGGCAGGGAGGTGGGCCCAGTGCCTGGGACAGCTCTGAGCAGAAGGCGGACTGAACACGGACCGCTGTGCTTCACACTCGTCCTCCGTGTCTCACACGTGGCCGCGATGCCCACGGAAACCACCCCCAGGCCCTCCCGGGACCCCGACTCCGTTTGTCCTCAGGAAACCCACCCCCAGGCCCTCCCGGGACCCCGACTCCGTTTGTCCTCAGGAAACCCGGCCGGTCGGCGTTGGGCGGCGCTGCGTCCTGCCTGGTGCTGAGCCCGGTGAATATGGGGGGGTGACTCCTGCTTTCGGGGACCCAGTTCCAAGAGAGCAGTTAAAAAAGGGGCAAGAACACACAGCACTGCCGAAACCGGTGTGGCTCAGTGGAGAGAGCGTCGGCCTGCGGACTGAAAGGTCCCGGGTTCGATTCCGGTCAAGGGCATGTACCTTGGTTGCAGGCACATCCCCAGTGGGGGGTGTGCAAGAGGCAGCTGATTGATGTTTCTTTCTCATCGATGTTTCTAACTCTCTGTCCCTCTCTCTTCCTCTCTGTAAAAAAATCAATAAAATATATTAACACACACACACACACACACAGCACTGCGCCATCTCAGTATCATTATCCAAACCCCTGGCCTCGGTTTTATGGAGAAGCGGAGACCTCAGGAAATAAGCCATCGCTAACGGACGGAGCGCTTTCACCAGGAGGCCTCCTCCAAACAGCCACTCGGCGCCGAGACCCCCGAGTCCA